CTCAATTTTTTCTCCCAATGATTCCAAAGAACAGGAGTCTCAGAGTCCTGGTTTATAATAGCAATGAGGTTTTAAAGCAAGCCCCCATGCTGCCTTAAATCATCGCAGTTACTGTGTGTCAGTGTTGTTCATAGAGTGGCTTTGGGTTCTATAAACTTTTCTGAGCAAACAGAGCCAGAAGCTCCCTTCCAGATGCACATCAAATAGTCCCAAACCCTAAAGGAGACAGTCCAAATCATCAACTGGTTCCTCAGAGAAGGGGACCAGATTAAAAGTAACCCAAAGGAGAATCCCCCAAACACACGCTGTTTATAGTGTAAAATCATATACAATTATCTCACTAAAGATAATTTTACAGTAGTGATTAAGGCAATAAAATGAGGGCTTGGCACTAAAATAGTATTCTTCTGACACAGAAGCTGTATTCAGGCAGAAGTTCCCTGTGCTGATGTGCCAAACTGTCCCTGAAACAGCTTCTGAATTTGTTATAGATAAGATTTTCGTACTTAGTAGGGTAATTCTCTATTAGCTGTCTATAAAATATTTTTTCTTATTATCTTTTTTCATGCTATTACTTTGATTCATTATCCCTATGCTTCACAACTACATACACACATTTCTTACTTCCTTACACCATAAATATTTCATATCATTTCCACATTGCTTGCTACTTATTGCACACGTTTTGGAGATAAATACGTACATAAGAATCTATTACTGCACAAGTCTACTCTCTGATGTGGTTCCTTGGACTCTCCATGACACCCAGAAGCCTTCTTCAAGGAAAGAAAATTTTCTGATCCTCCAGGCAAACCAAAAAGAGAACGCAACTTCCCTGTTCCCCAAGCCCAACACACACTGAGAAAAAGGCTTTGTTTCAACAGAAGCGAAGCCCTGTCAGAAGAAGGAAGCAACAGGACAACACAAGCCAAACAGTGCTTGACAAAGATGAAAAAAAATAAAATAAAAGAAGTTCTCTTGTGGTGCTCTGATTAGAATCGGCCAGACAGTAGCACCAGACAGAATGTCCTGAGCCCTGCAAGCCCAGCAACTCTGTGCGACCAAGGTTTTGATTTTCACTAAAATAGTCCACGGAAGGCAGGAAAAAGATAGAATTTTTTTGCTGGAAACTTTTTGGGTAAATGTACAACCACAGGAAAACTGCAAGCTTCAGCTCATCACCTGCTTGAGGAAGAAAGGCTGTAAGCTGACGTCTCAATCACATTTCACCCATAGCATAGAAGGGCACCAGCCCCAAGACAGCATAAAGAACTGGAAGGTTGATCAGAAGATGATCTACCATCCTTGCACGTAACAATACAAATCAGAAAGAACTTTGCTTTTGGCAAAGGCATTAATATCTAGACAGATAAAGAAAACGCACTGTACAACTAGAAAAAAATCAAGTAAGAGCAGAACAGAATGAATCTACAGGGCAGTTGAGACATGCTGAAGTGGCAGTGATCTCACATAGCCAAGCACAAGTATTACAGAATCATTTATGTCAGAAAGAACCTCTTGAGATCATCTACTCCACTCCCACTGTTCAAGCACAGACAGCTAGAGTAGGTTGCCCACAGCTGCATCCTGTTGGGTTTTGAATATCTCCAAGGATGGAGACTCCACAACCTTTCTGGGTAACTTGTGACAGTGTTTGACCATGCTCAAAGAAAAAAAAAAAAAAAAAGCTATCACCCTCACAGCAGAAAACTACACACAGTGTTTATTAGAAGATACAGAGACTTGCCAGAAGAGTCATTAACTGATTAGTTCCCCAGAAAGGTGCAGAAAAGAGCAGAAAGGACACTGTGAGGGACTTGCAGCTGTGTTCCTGATGTGGCCATTCCTGATGGCAACCTCTGAAAAAGAGCAGCAGCTCATTAGTCCTTTAATGTTGGTGTAATACCTAAATAGAAAGCAATAAAGCTGTACTACTTAAGAGGGACTGCAATGTTAAATCCTATCAGAAAAGTTCAGAGGAATCATAGAATCACAGAATTTCCCAGGCCGGAAGGGACTTCCAAAGGCCATCTAGTCCGACCCCCCCACAGTCAGCAGGGACACCCCCAACTAGACCAGGTTGCCCAGGGCCTCGTCGAGCCTCTCCTTCCAGGCTGAACAACCCCAGCTCCCTCAGCCTGTCCTCGTAGCAGAGGTGCTCCATCCCCCTGATCATCCTTGTGGCCCTCCTCTGGACCCTCTCCATCAGGTCTATATCCTTCTTATACTGAGGGCTCCAGACCTGCACACAATACTCCAGGTGAGGTCTCACCAGAGCAAAGTGGCAGAATCACCTCTCTGGACCTGCTGGCAACGCTTCTTTTGATGCAGCCCAGGATGGGATTGGCCTTCTGGGCTGCAGCTGCACACTGCCTGCTCATGTCCAGCTTCTCATCCACCAGCACCCCCAAGTCCCTTTCCTCAGGGCTGCTTTCCAACACCTCACCCCCCAGTTTGTATTGGTGGTGAGGATTGTTCCGGCCCAGGTGCAGAACCTTGCATTTGCTCTTGTTGAACCTCATGAGGTTCACCTGGGCCCACCTCTCCAGCCTGTCCAGAGGTGGGAATCTTAGACAACACCCTTCCCTTGCTTTTCACCTGGAAAACCATGAACCAAGGATATCACCACCAGGTGGAGGAACCAAGGTAATGCCACCAGCTTCCTCCATCCACCAGCTGTTTGGATGAAGTCAGCATCTCCCTTTCTGCAGTGTTTCTCATCGCTTCGCAACAGCTCGTAGTGAAAACACAGACGACACGTGATTCCCAACTCTCTCAACCTTATTTCTTATTTTAACTTGATCGTTTATTTCAGTAAGGCATTTGGGGATTAACCTTGAACCAAAAAAAGTTAAGTTCTTCACAGAACAGCTTGATTTATAAAAATATGGCTGAAGGAATTTGTCATTCCTAAATGCAGGATAGCTGATGCATAGCCAATTCTGCTGTTTCTGTCTTTTCTGTCCCTTAATATTTGCTAACTGCTTTGCCAAGGGACTGTCCTAATTCCACACTCCACCACTCCCTCTCCCCAATTACCAGGATCCTGCTGTATACAACTGTGGGTGTTTTTTCAAGCATTTGGTATTCTCAACTGTTTTCCAGAAATAAACACTGATGGCAAAGCATGAGTATTAGTCAACTTTTTGCACATTTTCTGATGCTAGTTCTGATTTGGCGACTTCAGGTCATACTTGTCAAGCGTCCCCTGCCCTGGATGTAGCACAGAGTGACACTAGCCAGCACGATAGCATCATCTCTTGGTTTTCTAATAGTCCACCATCCTACACGGTCACACCCTCACTCAATTCTGAGCAGTTCTCTGCCTTGTTTGCCCTCACTACGCTGCTTTCAGACCGCCTGCTCTGCTGTTCTCTGGGAGCTCTGTGTATCCAGACCTTTCCCAGATCAACAGCAACCTTCCTCCTAATGACATGGGTTGATTTCTCCTTTGTTTCAAGTCTCTTTACACAGCTCAGCTGCATCTGTTGCAATACTGTGTATTCAAAAAAAGGCCTTATTGGTCTTCCTCTTAGAAGAGCTGAACTGTGGAAAACTATTTGACCTTCCAAAATAATTACTGACTTTTGCCTTGAGGCTATCTGTCCCAAACATTGAGTAAACCCTGTTTCACAAGACCTGCAACAGTCTCACCCTCCAATTCATATCTCTGGAGATTTTGTGTAAGGGCAGAGGTATAGAAATGGACAAAGGGCCACAAGGCTATCTCTGAAGCATGAGCCTTGGTGATAAGGATACCACTCACTGCTTCATGGGAAGGTGTTTCCTCAGCCCAAGTGGAAACCCTGCAAAAAGGAACATCCCTTCAAAGGTATATTATACTACAACACGTAAACTGGACCTGTTAATAGCTGGCCTTGCCTTCACAAGGAAATCCATGCACAATGCACTTCAGCAAACAGCACTTCTCAGTTCCTCAAAGGCAGACGTGGAAATTCCTTTTTTACATCCTCCCTTAGCGATCAGTTTTTCATAGAAGCCCCCTCACTCTTTTTTTTTCCAGCCAGGAACAACTGCAGCAAGACTGCTCCCTTGCACCTTTTGGTGTTACACTGGATCTCATCAGCACTGCAAAAGCCTTTGGGATACTGGCTGCCTCCTTTCACCCTATTCTACCAGGTCACTCCTGAGAATGACTGTGACTTGAAAGACTAAAGACCAGCACAGGAAGGTTCATCTGAGCAAACAGAAAACAGCATCTTGGCATAGGGCAAGTCCCCCTTCAGCGTCATTTCTTAGGTGGAAGCAGGGTTGGACACGAGTCAAGGAAGGCTCCCATTTTGCTGCTTCCCAGTCAGTTTGAAACCTGCTTATAAGCTTTGCCAAGGTCAGCTATAGAAAGGGATGGCCCCAGAGCTGACTTCAACATCCAAACCAGTATAAAGTTGTGTTAGGGAAAATTAAGAATAGGTGTATCAATCAAATTAACATTAATTCAAAACCACCACTCCTAAACCCAAAATCATTTCATACTTTGCCTTCAGGACAGTCAGGTACATGACAAATTTACTAATTACCAGTTTCCCTATACCTCATGCTATCCACTTTTTGCACTCACCTATTTAGCAACCATTTTACTTGGACACTCTGTCACACTCACAGCACTATGGTGACAAACATTGTCCCTGCCCTCTGGGAGGCTACCACCTCACCTCCTTTCTTACTCCAACACTGCTTTCTCTATTCCTTATTATCTCATCAGTAGCACTACACTGCACAGAGCAGTGTACCAATAATTACGTTTAAGTCTCCTCATTGTTCTTCCAGCCTGGCAGACAAAAATTGTCCCTGTAGTTGGAACTCACTTGAATAGGATGCTTTGCAGAACGTAATAACTTTCTGAGCTGAATAACTTCATGTACCATCACATTTAGATGGAATCTGAAGAGAAAACTGTAAATAGCATTTGCAACTTTGGATTCTAATTGTTAACATGTACACGGTGACCTTTAGCACTTCCCAAGAGCTTTCTGCCTTACCTTGCAGCTTTTTCAGGACAGCCACTTCCATCTTGAGAACTTGCTTGGGCTGCTGGGCTGATTCCACCTTCAAGGCCACATTCTCCCGGGTCAGCAGATCCATTGCCTCATAGATCTCCCCAAAGCCACCGCCACCAATCTTCTTCAGCTAGAAAAGTACAAGGTTTGGTAAGGTTTGGTACGACGTACAAGAGAAACAACGTCAAATTGGCTCTCACAGAGCCAGGCACCAGCTTCTTTCTTTACTGCTTAAGGAGAACAAACTCAGCTCCCAATCTGTGCTCTGCCTGAATCCCTTCACTGCACAGCTAGGCAAAAGTCCAGCTACCCACTTGACTGTGCTATGTATAAATTCCTTGCTGTTAACAACAAAGAACAAGCCTAGCGAGCGATGACGTGTGATGCATTTAAAACCCAAATGATAACGCCTATTGCCTCAATAATGTTCTTGCCAAAATTCAAGGAAAGACCCTTCAAGGAGATAGCAGAAGCACTATCCACACCACGGTAGATAAAACCTGTCATTCCCTCTCAACAAACACACCTCTGCAGTAAAGCACAACCACGGTAGTTGGAACTAATGCTTTCAAGAAATAAGTTAAATGAAGTTTACATCTCATTCACAGGATTTTAAATACAGAAAAAAAACAACCCACAAACATCCACTGGAATATTTTACAAGATGCTTCACCTGCTCTGCTAGTGAGGTCACTTCAGTGCCATGTTTCAGAGAACTGCCAACTGCTTTACCTCAAAATAGTTACAGAAAAGCCACAAGTACAGCTCCATTGTTTCTCATTTTCTCCGACTCTCTTTTTTCACTTTTTCATTTTTAACCACACCAAATGATGCTTTTTGTGTCTCTGAGCAGAAATTAAAGACCGTTTCGCAGTAGAAGGATATCACTGCTCAGAAATCAAAACCAATTTCAATTGATATAAACTCAGAGCGAAAGATGTCTAAGTTTCAGCATATTTGATATGCACCTACTAGAGATAGATCGTCTGCCACCCACTCGGAGAGCAAGCTGGGATCCTCTGCCATTCCTGGAAGGTGATTCCTTGATTCTCCTGCTGAGATTCGGCAGCATATGCACGTATAGTTACACACATTGGTCGACTGTCAGCTGAACAGGAGCCAGCAGTGTGCCCAGGTGGCCAAGAAGGCCACCAGCATCCTGGCCTGTGTCAGGAACAGTGTGGCAAGTAGAGCCCGAGAGGTGATCATCCCCCTGTACTGGGCACTGGTGAGACCCCACCTCAAGTGCTGTGTCCAGTTTTGGGCCCCCTACCACAAGAGGGACATTGAGGTGCTGGAGCAGGTCCAGAGAAGGGCAACAAAGCTGGTGAGGGGTCTGGAGCACAAGTCTTACGAGGAGAGGCTGAGGGAACTGGGGTTGTTCAGTCTGGGGAAGAGGAGACTGAGGGGAGACCTTATAGCTCTGTACAAGTACCTGAAAGGAGGCTGTAGAGAGACGGGGGTCGGTCTCTTCTCCCAAGTTACAGATGTCAGGACAAGGGGTAATGGCTTCAAGTTGCGCCAGGGGAAGTTCAGGTTGGATATTAGGAAACATTTCTTTACTGAAAGGGTTATCAGGCATTGGAATGGGCTGCCCAGGGAGGTGGTGGAGATGATCTCTGAGGTCCCTTCCAACCACGATTCTGTGATTCTGTGATATGCATGTATAAGAGGCTCCTAATGTGTTGCAAGTGTCAATGTCTATGCCAGGAAAATTATTTTATATGTGTTTCTCTTAGGTATATTTAAAGCATACTATGCTGCCCAGGAACAAATTCATGTTTACAGCAGAGCTACATCAGGGCTCCTTTGAGGTGCTTAGCACTTCTTCATTGAACCTTGCTGCAGCCCTTCCCTTCAGCATCTCGTGTTCCCTCTATCCACAACTGCTCAGAAAGCCCTGTGCTCCTGCTTCTTTCCAAATGGCAGCAACGACGCTTGAAGAGAAAAAAAGGAAGTTTAAATTGGGCAGATAGTCAACCATGTATCTTATACATTGTTTCATGAGGTTGGGATGGTATTTTAGTGTCTTCTGTGCCACAGAAGGTCTGTCCTCTGCATCTGTCCGGTTTGCTGAACACGGGGTCCTGCCTCTCAAGGGCAGTTGGCTGGGTTTTTTTTGTCCTTAAGGTCACCCAAACCATTTGGTTTTCTAGCTCCCAGGTCCAGAAAAACAGCTCTGCATGAAGAAGGTAGTATTTTCCATATTAACAGCCTGACTATTGTCTCTGAAGCCATTTCTTGATAACCCTGTGAGAGTTGCTGCCCGGAGCCATCCTTCTTCTCCTTTTACTTGTTATTTTTTTTCCCTTGCAGCCTTCCACTGGGCTAAACAGGCACATTTATACAGTAAACAGCCCAATAACTAGGTCACCACATATTATTCATAAATTATTACAGTGCAGCCCTATTTCTACTTGGAAATTCGCACTAAGTGAGCTGGCTATTAAAAATCTTTCTATCAAAACAGAGCTACATTCAGCATAGCAACAACACACCAGTCAGTACCTTAGGATTCAGGACACGAGATCTGCTGTTGCCTGAAGTATTGGCAACAGAGAATGAAAAGGGAAAGGGACAGTAAAAGCTGCAGAAGGTCAAAAAGTTTAGTTGGGATCTGGAAGGACTCTGGGGAAGATTCAAAGTGTCTCAGTGGGAAAATGGGTAACACAATAAGCAAAAGTCAACCATAATAAACGTAACACAACATAGGTGGGATGGAGCAGAAACCCAGGCCACCCAAACATCTCGCTGGGTTGCAAATTCAAGAAGTGGAGCCAGGGAGGAATACTGCTGAGCCAGCACGGATGCGCGCAATGATCCTTTTCCACACACTGGCCTTAGCAGGGGCAGCTCCCACGTCCAACACAGTTGTCAAAATGCAAAGCTACCACAATAGAAATGGAATAACACAGTAATATGATGAGCGTAGCGGCATTGTAAGGATCTGTAGGAAGGTCTAGTCATGTTCAATGCCCAGTATCGACCTACCTTGGTGCTAGAAACTCCCACTGAGTTAGGAGCGGTTCATTTCAGGATGAAGAGAATGACTAGGAGCCTGGAAAAACTAAGGACAGACTAGGACTGCTATCTCAGAAAAAGCATCAGAGAGGCAGGTTCAGGAAGAAGGGTGCGGGTCTTGAGACTGCTCGCCTGGGAAACCAGCCAAAATCGGAGGACCCATAGAAGTCAACAGAGGAATGAATGTGAGATGAAAGGAGAACAAGACCAGAGCTTCGCTGAATCATAAAACCAGGCACACTCAAAGAGTGGTGGCCAACAGCTTGATGTTCGAGTGGAAACCAGTGACAAGTGGCGCTCTTCAGGGGTTGGTACTGGGATCAGCACTGTTTAACATCTTTGCTAGGGACATGGACTGGGATCAGCACTGTTTAACATCTTTGCTGGGGACATGGACGGTGGGATTGAGTGCACCCTCAGCAAGTTTGCTGATGACACCAAGCTGTGTGGAGTGGTTGACACAATGGAGGGGAGGGATGCCATCCAGAGGGACCTGGACAGGCTCGTGAGGTGGGCCCGTGCAAACCTCACGAAGTTCAACCACGCCAAGTGCAAGGTTCTGCACCTGAGATGTGGCAATCCCAGGCATAAATACAGGTTGGGCAGAGAATGGATTGATTGAGAGCAGCCCTGAGGAGGACTTGGGAGTGCTGGTTGATGAGAAGCTCACCATGAGCTGGCGGTGCGCACTGTCAGCCCAGAAAGCCAACCACATCCTAGGCTGCATCAAAAGAAGTGTGGCCAGTAGGTCCAGGGAGGTGATTCTGCCCCTCTATTCTGCTGTTATGAGACCTAACTTGCAGTACTGCATCCATCTCTAGAGCCCTCAACATAAGAAGGGAATGGAACCGTTGGAGCGAGTGCAGCAGAGGGCCACAAAGATGCTCAGAGGGATGGGGCACCTCTGCTGTGAGGACAGGCTGGGAGAGCTGGGGTTGTTCAGCCTGGAGAAGAGAAGGCTCCAAGAGACCTTATAGCAGCTTTCCAGTATTTAAAGGGGCCTACAGGAAAGATGGGAAGGGACTCTTTATCAGGGACAAGGGGCAATGGTTTTAAACTGAAAGAGCGTAGATTTAGATTAGATATTAGGAAGAAATCCTTCACTGTGAGGGTGGTGAGGCACTGGAAGAGGTTGCCCAGAGAAGCTGTGGCTGCCCCATCCCTGGAGGGGTTCAAGGCCAGGCTGGATGGGGCTTGGAGCAACCTGGTCTGGTGGGAGGTGTCCCTGCCCACAGCAGGTGGCTTAGGACTAGATCTCTTCCAACTCTAACCATTCTATTTGTCTAAAACTGATTTTATACAGACATTCCAGCCAGTGGATGCACCTCACTGTCCAAGAGCCCTCAAGCTGCCCCTTCTTCCTCACATCCTTTCTCACCCTCTTAAGGAAATTATTTTCTGGCATACTTTTCCCAGCACACCAGATGGTCCCATTTTCATCATGACCAGCACTGCCATCCTCCTTGATTTTTCAGCAACATCCAGAGGCCATCAACAGCCATTTCCTTCTCTTTGTTGCAGAGCATGTTGTTACCTTGCAACTCAAGGTCTTGGCTGAGATCAAGACCTTACCACACAGGCATTTTCCTCCTTGCTTGGGTACTCTGGGGAAGTTCACTGTTTAAGGTGAACTCAGCACAGCCTTCTGCTGGACACAAAGGAGTGATGGGCATATACCACTCCAGAAAATAAATCAATAATGCAACCGTTAACCACAAAGTCAAGAAAGAGCATCTCACAAGAGTCACCTAAATGATAATTGTGAGTCACCAGCCCATGCTAAGCCTCACTGTCCTGAGAATATTCTCTTCTCATCCTGTTTCCTACCTTCCACCAGATCATTTACTGTTAAGACTGGGATACAGGCTGACAACACCAGCAGGAGTCGTTCTATCTAAACGCACGAGCCTATGTCCAGATTTCCATTACAGCCTGTAAAGTCAAGAATTCCTCCCATTAAACAAAGGCATCTACTTGGGCTTGCACGTACGTAACTAAAATTAAAGCAAACTACATCTCAGACATGATTTCAGTCCTTTCAGCATCCCACAAATGGCCACACAACCGTACAGCTCATTGCAGGGCTTCTTCCATATTCTAAGAGGTTTC